TATATATATATATATATATATATATATATATATATATATGGATGTGAATGTGTGTGTGTGTGTGTGTGTGTATGTATGTGTTAATGAAAGAAAAGACCCTAATCCTCAAAAGGTTTGAACCCAGCTCAAACAAATGAACCCAGCTTCATTTTGGTCAATCTTGAAACCCAGAGCACTTGCAGAGAACACCATAAGCCAAGCAGTGTGTCTTCCAGTTAACCAACAGAAGAGGACAACAGTGGCAGTCGGTCCGCTGTCCTTGAGCCCCACAACTTCTGAAACAAAAATTCCTACACTCTCATTCCACACAAAAAGGAAATAAAATAAACCGATAATATTCCTCCCCTCCATGTTTTCAGTACATGTACTGTGTGCATTTGTTGTCAGCCCCACAAGGTAGACCAGACTACAAAACCAATGCCCTATAGGTCAGGACTACTTTTATTGTAACAGCTGTAGTAACACAATCTTGCAAGTCTGAATGTGCTTCCCCCTCACTTTAACTTCATGTGAACTAGAGAGGGGCTCGTCTGAGACGTTTCCTCAACAATTTCTTGGCCTGGGCTCAAGCCCCTCCTATCTGGCCGTTGCCTTGGTAGCAGCTCTTCCTCCTGTCCTTCAAGGCCATTCCTTCTTCCCTCTACATTTGTGGGCCTATTTGAAAAGAAATATCTAAGCAATTGCAGCAAGAGGAATCTTCCCGGAAGCAAAAGCACCATTCTTTCCATTTCTGTTTAAAAGCCACCGTAGGCTGTAAAGCTGAAAGCATACCCTTAGGTATTTTTGCAGTCAGAGGCTTTCCCCAATACTTAACAACATTGCGGTTGCAACAGTAGTACAAAGGGAAAATGCTGCTAAAATTTCTGCAGTCTGTTTTGACTTCTTGCCACTCTGCCCTTTGCACAGTGTCTCAGGGCAAGGCAGCAAAGCTGAAATTGACAGGAATATTTTTTGTTTCTGGCTTCTCTGTGGCAGGGGACAACCATCTTGGAAAGTGCCAGAAATGTTGCTTGTTTTTTGCTTTGTTTTTTTCCCCATGATTGCCTTGAAACAAATACTCTAGAAGTAGTTCAGAGCTGAAGCTCTGTTGGGGATGGGACAAGAATGACTGTTTTAAGTTCACAAGCTAGGAAGCCAAAGGAAGAGTTTGGCCCATGATGAAATGGGACTGACACAACTCAGCATTTCTGAGTGTCGCAGAAGAAGGTAGCAATTCATTGTGGGGCAAAATATACCACATCAGAGTTGGCAAGAAACTGATAAGGTGGGAGCACCGAGGTCTGAAGCTGCTGCTTTTGAACTAGTGCAGAGAGTGCCCACTGCAATTGATCCAAATTTTCCCAATGAATTCTCAAGGTGGAGTGCAGGCTAGATCTCCCCAGGTCTACTGCAGCATTTAACCATTACATTGCACCACTCACCGATCAGAATTTTACTTGAGGCAGAAAAATCAGATCTTTCCCCCTCTCTTATTAAATTGCATTTTTCTGGTTGGATAGTGCTTTAGATGTGAAAGGTAGTCAGAAAGTCATTAAAGTTTCGGCACAGTGCCAGAAACGGATTTACATTACATTGTTTGTGATCATTTTTAAGCAGAGGACTTCCCTTGCTGTCTTATCATGATCTGTGGAATCCTCTGCATCTTTCTGCAGTCACAGAGGACTCCTTCCACACTATATAAACAAACTGCAGACAAAGGTCAATATCCAGCTCTTTAAACAAAATTTTCTTCTTTAAAAATAGGGAAGGAGCTTCTTTGATGAATAGTCTCACTTGTACAACAGTTTAATGAATGAATCTTGGTCAAGTAAAGAGATTTCATGCATCTTTGGAACTTCAAGAGTTGTGTAGAAGAGGAACTATATGGTAGCAATTTTTCACTGTGCAGCAGAGACTTAAAAAAATACTTTCTTCTTGCCTAATTCTTTTTCTACATAACTTACTAAAATTCCAAGTCTAAAAATATTACTCAGTGGGACTGCACATATGCCAAAGCTGCATTCCGCTTCCCTCTGGTTATTCTAATGTTTCTGTCATTCAAAATCTCAAATTCTCAGCACAATGTATCTACTCAGAAGTAAGTCCCATGAAGGCCAATGGGAATTAATCCTAGGTTAGAATACAAAGCTGCAGTGGGAAAAGTCATGTTACAAATAAAGGACACTTTGCATGGCACCTTAAAAACTAAGGTTTATTATTGTAGGAACTGTTGTGCATCATAATACATTCACCAGATAATGGGAACAAAGTTTGGAGGGAAGCCTCATCTTTTGAAGATGAGTATATAGTGTATGTATGTATGTATGTATACACACACACAGTACTGAGCAAAAGTTTTAGGCAGGTGTGAAAAAATGCTGTAAAGTAAGAATGCTTTCAAAATATATA